ATATTTATTATTATATTTGACGTGTTTGCCATGAAATTGACATTTGAAATCGAGTGAATTTAGTAGTTAAAACATATACCATGAATCATTTTTACTTATAGTAAATTTCCATTGTGCTGGATTTAGTAAATTCAGTAGAATTAAATGGTCAATTCCATTACATAAATGTCAAATAGATCCTCACAGAGGAGGTTAACTAGCAACAAGTTATAACGTGCGAACTGTTGTCTAGGACTTTATTGAATACATTTTTGCCAGATATATCTGCTGAAAATTTAGTCATTTATAAATAATAAATTTAGCTTTTGTGTTTTTTCTAATACTAATACTAGTTTTTTCTAATACTAGCGATAATTCCTGTTTTTAGAAAAAAAATTGTGGGCAGATATTTTGAAAAAATATGTTACTATATTAAAATTATATATTTTTCAACACGTTTTTTCGTAATTTTTAAGATGGTAATCGATTTTAATATTCTTGGCATATGTGTGGGAATATACAAGGACGGAATGTTAATTATACAATTATTCAAGGTATTTATTCTGACATTATAACCCACAACGTAGAAGTGTACTGTATCTTTGTTGACAGAAGGTTGTGTAATTGTACCATGGGATAATGCCTTCTATTAAAATTCAAATGCGCGTTTATACTATGCCTTCTAGTACCATATATGGTACCCTTTATATTAGGCGAACGGGAAGAGCTAGAATTCTGAAATTTGGAATGTGGGTCACTGATGTAAAGTTAGGAAGATGTTCGAAAGGGTTTTTGGAAATTCGTACTAGAACGGTACGAAATGTACCAAAAAGTACTAAATGTGATGCCATTTGTATTTGGCGAACCGGTAGAGCTAGAACTCTGAAATTTGGATTGGTGGTCGCTGAGTGTAGGATAGATGTACCAAAGGGTTTTTGGAAATTCGAACTATAAATATCCGAAAAGTACTAAAATGTACTTAATTTGGTACATTTTCGTAGCATGTGAATTGATAGAGCTAAAAACTTGAAATTTGGAATGCGAATTAGGGTTGAGATGTAGAGTCTATTTAAGGAGATTGTTTTGAAAGCGTGTACTCATGTGTACGAAAAGTACTATACGGTACTATATTTGGTACACAATTTGGAAATACAAATCGAGCTGGAATCCTGAAATTTGAAATTAACATTACCGTCGGAGTGTAGGATTGGGAATGTACGTAGTTTTGGAATTTTTTTTACTCATGTGTACGAAAAGTACTAAATCGTACAATAGTTGGTACAATTTGCATTTAGGTGAACCGATAGAGCGCGAACAATGAAATTTGAAGTCAGGATCATTGTGGGAGTGTAGGATTGGGGTCAGGAATCAGTTTAAGTAATTTATATTCATGGGTACTAAATGGTACTAAATTTGGTACAATTTGACTTTTATGCGAACCAATAGAGCTAGAATCATAAAATTTTGAGTCAGGATTACTGTTGGGGTGTAAGATCGAAATATGTAGGATGTTTTAAAAATTGTTACTAATGTGTACTAAATTTAGCACAATTTGAATTGTGGGTGAACCGATAGAGTTGGAATCCTGAATCTTGGATTTAGGATCACTCTGAGGTGAAAGTTTGGGTTAAGTGGGACGATTTGGAAATTTGTACTACTGTGTACTAAATTTTGTTACAATTTGAATTGTGAGTGAACCGATAGAGTTGGAATCTTGAAACATGGATTTAGGATCACTGTTGGGGCGAAGGTTTGGGGTAAGTTTTGGAAATTCGTACTACTGTGTACTAAATTTGGTACAATTTGAATTGAGGGTGAACCAATAGAGTTTTAATCCTGAAACTTGGATTTTGGATAACTGTGGGGGTGTGGGTTAAGTAAGAAGTATTGGAAATTTGTACTATTATGTACAAAATTTGGTACAATTTGAATTGTGGGTGAACCGATAGAGTTGAAATTCTGAAACTTGGATTTAGGATCACTGTGGGGGTGTAGGATTGGGGTCTGTAGGATGTTTTGGAAATTGGTACTACTGTGTACTAAATGTGGTACAATTTGAATTGTGGGCGAACCGATAGAATTGGAATCCTGAAACGTGGATTTAGGATCACTGTTGGGGCGAAGGTTTGGGGTAAGTTTTGGAAATTCGTACTACTGTGTACTAAATTTGGTACAATTTGAATTGAGGGTGAACCGATAGAGTTGGAATCCTGAAACTTGGATTTTGGATAACTGTGGGGGTGTGGGTTAAGTAGGAAATATTGGAAATTCGTACTACTGTGTACTAAATTTGGTACATTTTAAATTGCGGGTGCTCCATCCTGAAATTTGAAATTGGAATCATTATGGGGGTGTAGGATCGGGGTATGCAGGAAGTTTTGTTGGATGGTTGACGTGTGTACTCTTGCAAATAATTGGATTTTGGATTTTGCTTGAAAGGATAGATTTCTGTTGAAGATTGAGCTATAGAGACATATTTGGAAACTCGTATTTATGTGTACGAATAGTACTAAACGGCACTAGATTTGGTATAATTTGGATTTGGGTGAACGGAGAGAGCTGGAAACCCATAATTTGGACAAATGGTTGATGTTTGAATATAGAATTGAGATAGGGAATCATAGTACCTATGTGTACTAAATAGTATTATATTTGGTACAACTTGATTACGTGTGAACTGATAGAGCTGGACTCCCGAATTTTTGAATTAAAATTACTGTTAAAGCGTAGGATTGACATAGTTTAGGATATTTTTAATTATAGAAAAAAAAGTACTAAATGGTACCAAAAAGCTTACAAATGTGTGAACGGATAGGTCTGAGATTCAGTTTGAGTGCAGAATTGAGATATGTCGGTAGGTTTTGAAAATTCGTCATTATGTGTACTAAATGGTACAAAATTTGGTACAATTTTGATTCGAGTTAACGGATAAAGATGGTAAACGTAAATTTGGAATTAAAATTACAGGATTAAGGAAGTATTGGAATTTCGTACTTATGGATACGAAAAGCACTAAATGGTACTAAATATGGCACAATTCGTTTTGTGTGAGCGGGAATCCTAATATTTGAACTTAAAAATAAGGTTGGAGTGTAGGATGAGGTAGTGGAGGTAGTACTATGTTTAGTAACATTTAGATTTGTGTGAAAGGATAGAGATGGATGGATTTGAAAATAAAATTACTCTTATAGCAAAGGATTGAGACAGTGTTGGAAATTCGAACTTATGAGTACGAAAAGTACTAAATATGGTACAATTTGGATCTATGTGAACGAATCTATGTGTTTCAGTATGGAATTGAGGCAGTTTTAGAAACTCGTACTTACGTCTACGAAATATAATAAATTGTACTAAATTTGGTACAATTTGGACGTTGGTGAACGAATAGAGCTGGAATCTTTAAATGTGGACTTAAGGTCATTATTGGAGTGCATGACTGAGATATTTTTGGAAATTCGTACTTTGGGTACGACAATCACAAAGTTTGGTACAATTTGGACTTTAGTGAACGGGTAGAACTCGAAACCTGAAAGTTGCAACTTATGTTACTCGGGGAAAAGTAAAGAATGGTACCAAATATGGTACAATTTAGTGGACATATAGAGCTGAAATTCTTAAATTTTGACTTACGATTGGAAGTAGGTTTGGAATATTGAAAAGCACTAAATTTTGAACAATTTGGACTTTGGTGGAAGTAAGATTACTTTTAGAGTGTAGGATTGATGTGGTTTTAGAAATTCTTACTTATGAGTATGAAAACTACTAAATGGTACTAAATTTGAAACAATTTGGATTTGGTTGAATCTTGAGATTTGGGATTCAGATTGAAGTGTAGCATTGAGATATGGGGAAAACTTTGGAAACTCGAATTTATGTGTACAAATAGTAAATAGAATAGAAAATTCACTAAATTTGGAACAATTTAGGATTTGGGTAATGAAGAGAGCTGGAAACCTAAAATTTGGAATGTGGGTCACTGACAGAGATTTAGAAAGAACGACTAAATGGTTTTTGGTACTAAAATTAGTGGTGCTGATGGTATGGAGGAGATCTTGAAAATGTGTACTTATGTGTTCGGAAAGTGCTAAATGAAGAGTACTTAATTGTAATAAAATTAATATTAGATGCAGAAATAGAGGTGGAATTCAGAACCATAGTACAGCAAATTATACAGTATTCAGGATTTCCATATGAAATATTTTTTTTTGTATTCCCTTTCCGCATACGAAGTAGCGGGAACTTTGCTAGTATTTACTATAAATAAAAAAAAGACAGCTGACATCTGTTGTTAGGAGACTATTTTGAATAATTAATAATTTGAAGGCATACTTTAATGAGAAATTATAGTTTTTTTTGTACAAACGCAGGGTTGTATTTGAATTTATCTCCATTTAGCATAGGATTTCGAGCAAATCGAGATATTGAGTGAATTTTACTTTGTATGGCAAATCGAGGTAAATGAGCTCGATTTAGCAGTTAAATTGAGATAAAACGGATTTACACTAGAAATTTTGCCGGGTTAACAACCTGTATGAAGTTTTTTTTTGACATATGTAGTGGAGTTGACAATTTAGATTTACCGGATTTAATAACTATGGTAAAATGTAAACGTACTATAAAGCACTTTATCATTCGCTGCAAAACCGCCTAAAAAGAAAAATCTTGATTTTAGCCTTAATGATGAAGAATTGTTCGTTATAGCAGGCTTCATATTGTGTAAAAAATTTAATGAATGTTTTTTTTCACTCTGATTGAAAAGCTGTAGAAGTTCCTCTGTTCCATGCGTTTCAATTGACGCATGGAACAGAGGAAACGCATTTTCTGCAAAATCTATATTTTATTAAATAAATTAAATAAATAAACCTTAAACCTGGTAAAAACCTTGAAATAGTCCATAATGTCCATCGTCTCAACCCATAAATAATGAAACACAAGACACAAACACGATGTTTTTAAACCTAATACCATTTATTTCAAATATATGTATGTACCCTCACCCTCTCATATATATTTATATATGTATGTATATTTATAACTTTATGAAAACATCGAATCTAATAAATTGCTTTGTCTTTCACGACGATTCGATTCATCTTGACGATAACGTCTTAATTCTTCATACGCCTCATCATCTGTTTCCAGCTCAAATCGGCACAAGGGACAGGAGTTGGCCTAAACAAAGAGTAGAAAATATCCAACACTCATTAATATATACATACGTATATGCAAATACATCTGCATGACAGAATACTTACTTTCTTCAGCCAAAGCAATACACATTCCTCGTGAAACTCGTGTTTGCATGGCAAAATTTTATATTTTTCCCCATTTTCAGCTGGCTGCTTGCATACTGCACACTCAAGATTGTCCTTGTCGTCATTATCGGTTACCTCATGTACCGGGAATTCAGCTATGGCTCTTTTTGACGCTTCTGGTACTTCTATTTCCATATCTATTCCATTCATTATGGCCAGTACTTGCAAGCGCTTGTAATGACGATCGAAATCATTGGCCCCTTCTGGTCCAGTGGGTTCGTGACCCAATTCATCAAAATAGTCAGACATCTAAGAAAATCTAAAAAAAATTTTAACAAAAATATTCGATTGGTGAATTTATTTTAAAACTTGCTTGGTAAAATTATAAATATTGGTCTGTTTCCGTACTGCAAGAATCTACTAATTTTTACTATTATCTTCGATATCGTAAAGAAAAATTTGTTATCGTATTAAAAACTTGTAGATTCTTGGAGTACGAGAACCACTTTTTACTAACGAACCAACCGCTTCATTCATATTTTCTGGTACAGGGTTATTCAAAAGTATGGGACTGGAATTCTGTCAAACTAACTTCTTAAACCAATTGTTTTATTTTCAATTGAAAGTCTAACATTGACGAAAATAGATCGCCTAACTATCTCACCACGCATAAAAATTATCAATTAATCAATAAAACGGCGATTCGGTCACAACTACGAACTACGCGAGCAATTAGCATAATTGTGAAGAAATTTTGAAGAGAATTTTCGCTTGTTCCACTGAAAATGTCGCTGCTATAACTGAAAATGTTTGCGAAGACCCAAATGGGTCGATTCAGTTCAATTTTTTTAATAAAATAAAAAAATAATAATCCCAAAATATAAATTACAAGTTCAAGTCGATTCGATTATTTAGTTAATGAATTGGAAAGAAATCAAACCATTCTGATTTATCAACCTTTTCTGTCATTCGCAATGATTTCACAAGCGAAATCACTCCCATTATTTTGTATGAACCGGAATGAGCAAAAAACGGGAGCTGTAGTTTCGAATTTTCGATAATGGTGGTTGAAAGAATGATTCGTGTTGTCATATTGTAATTTGAGCTATAACGCGTGTTGCATAATTGCAAACTAATTCATTTATTTATTGTTATTAATAAATAGTTGTTTTTATAAAAACAACATACTGGGATTCAGCCTGTCTAAAAACGTTATTTAAAAATTCTTACGATAACAATTTGAAATTAAGAGAATATGTAAGAATATATACCGTAATGCCATGAACAGACCAGCGTTGTCCGCCCTCTCATTCGGTGTTCGACCCTTAATTATGAAGTAATTACTTAGTTCCCCATACAAAATTGTCTGAGCGAACACCGAATTTTGTACGTTGTTCAATTCGAATCACTCTCTGAATCACCAAGAATTTTGTCCCATCCCTAACAATTGAGAGAATTTATAGAAAATAAATTAATTTTGACAGCATGAAAAAATTTTTAAATTTTTCAAACTTTTTCAGTAAAATTGAAAATGATGAATGAAAATTAACCAAAATTCCAGTTTTTATATATGCAGAAGGATGTAAATTTTGTTGTCTACATAATGCAATATGCATTTCTTTCCCCTTGGTTCTAATTAGCGTACAAAACGAGAAACAAAAGTGGGGAAACCCAAACAAAAATTCTCCAATTTTTTAAATGTGACATTTGAATTGAGAAAATATAAAAATGTATTGAAAACAACAATATTTTCAGAAAAAATGGAAAACATGAATTAAAAGTAAAGAGATAGGGGTTGATATTATAGTCAGGAGAAATAGAATTATTTTTTCTATTTAGATCCATATGTAATTCACGCAAATATGTTACAATTTTGGTGTAAAACAAGAAACAAAATGTATGAAATAAAAAAATTCTGATGACATGAATTAAGAATAGTGTTGTATGAAAGGGTTAATTCATGTACGTAATTCTGAGAGCGAACTACGTTGTTCGAATGCCCGTCAGAACATGGCATTATGCCAAAATTGTAACATATTTGCGTGAATCACATATGGATCTAAATAGAAAAAATAATTCTCTTTCTCCTGACTACCCCTTTCTCTTTACCTTTAATTCCTGTTTTCCGTTATCAATAGGATTTCCAAAGTTTTTGAGTTAAAAATATGCACACAACCATTTATAATATTCGAAATTCATAAAATAAATCAGTTTAATTGGAATTCTAATATTTGTGTATCATACTCACGCGTTGATTTTATTCATAATTAAATTTAAAAGGATATACTTAATTTAAATATTTAGTAATTTAAATGCGGCGCAGTTATATTTTTCAATAATACTGTATTCAAGTAATATGTTAAAATTTGAATAACTTCTCAGCTTACCTATTATGCCATTAAGATTTTTCCAAACCTCGGTAAACAATTGCCTAAATTTCTCTCTCATTTAATGAACTTTAAAGTTATCGAACAACATACCGTAACAATTTGTACAAATTATTGGGTTCTCAAACATACCTAAGGACACACATGAATTAAACGGAGAATTGTGGTCGCATGCCTATATCAACTATTTACTAAGCAGATTACTGCCGAAAAAACCAAGTTCGTTTATGTCGGTTTGTTTTTATTTCCTACAGTGCATCTGTATTTTACGATTTTTGTTAATTGTAGGTATTTACAACAACTTCACACACGTCACATCATGCCCAAACTTCTGATACACTTACACTTACGATACATCACAGTTCCCACTAAGTAAATGGTTCTTGTTGTTGGTTTGCCAGGAATAGGTTTTGTCCCTTGTCGTTTAATTTAAAATGTGATTTTTATTTAAAAATACTCTCTCTTAAAGAAGATTCAATAAATTACAAGTAATTATTACTATATAATATATATAAACGAATGATAAGTACTTATTAATTACACAATTAATCTATTTGGTTGTATTTATGTATATGTTTAGCTAAATATCGTATCGTATATAATTTCGGGGAATCAGTATCATTATTAATAAAAAATGAAATATATTTAATATAAATGAAGAAAGAAACAACAATACATTTAAATTAATAATTATAAATAATTACATAGTAAAATCAATTTAACGATTAATTACGCACATATGACATGAATTCGTTTGAGTCATACAGAAGAGGAGAGCGTGTACAGATTGCAATTCATTTGGATTGGTTGTTCCCCAAACCATGCAAATTACAACGCGTAGCAGAGGCAGCGCATGAGATTGGAAAGGTTGGATGGATAGGCAGCTGACGGAAGGCAATTCCTAGACCCTTTTAATGTATGCAGATTTATGTAGTAAATGGTGAAGAGTGTTCCCAAACTCGAAATGAATAGTGTTATACTCTGCAAATACGAATGCGATTTAGATTCAACTTGCTATTATTGGGTAGGCTGTTGTGATGGTGTCAGCGTTTGTGTCTATAGGGGGGGTTCGGGGCATGTCTAGAGCTCCTTTATAGTGATCATCCTCTGGAGTAGAAATTTTTTAATCTGTAATTGATATTTGAGCATACCCGACCAGCGAGCGATCATCGGGTACTTCACCTGGTTGTACCCCTGAATTTAATTGGAACGTTACGGTTTTCAAGGCATGTCGCTGTTCGATTAACTGATGCAAATTTATAGCCATTGGCTGTGTGTCAAGAGGATCTACTAGACCGGCGTCGACCAATTCAGCAGCAATGCCTTCTGCGGAGTCTTTACCCACAGCGAACTCGAAACGAATGTCATGCAGTTCACGACGAATGTTTCGCATACGCAAAACAAGGTTTACGGGCGGAGCATCGGCCCCAGCACCACTAGCATCGACGGATGGGACTGGCATCTGCGCCATTGCTTCTGTGGCTTGTGCCACAGAATTGGGTGACATTGTGGCAGGTGACTGTTGTATTTGTTGTTGCAAAAGTGCATCCTGCAGTTGGTGTGGTTGTTGTGCCTGTTGCAAACCACCGTGAGATGATGGTTGCTGAACTGGCTGCGTTTGCGCAGGTTGATTTAGCGAGGCATGTGCCTGATGTTGGGGAACAGATACGGAGGCAGTGGGTTCAGTGTGTTCTGACTGATCTTCCCGATCACTATCGGAAGAATCGGCTCTTTCTAAACGATTAACAGGCCGCTCGTCTGATTCCGAGTCAGACGAATGTCGTTTACCATCGTCTTCCTCATCCGACCACATCCATTCACCGGTAACTGTGCGGTGCAAACGTCCTGACTGACCCGGCTGACGTTTTGCAGCCTTATGTACGCGAGTCTCCATTGATGGACCAGAAGCCAGCAATGTTTGTGTCAAATACTTCCGATCTTTAGCCTTTTTAAAGAATGCATTCTTTAATAGTTCGGCAGCCGTGGGCCTCTTAGACGGCTCCTTCTGCAGACATTCCACAATCATCTTGCGGAATGTCTTGCCATATGCCTTGTACTGGTCTTTCTCCTCAGAACCTGTGTCTAAAGTTGGAGGATCATTCTGCAAGGTCAACATCAACACCTTCATCGGTGGGTACTTGTGGTATGGAGCCGTGCCCGTTGCCATTTCTATGGCTGTTATACCAAAGGACCAAATATCAGCTTTGAAGTCATACCCATGATCTTGTTCCATGACTTCGGGTGCCATCCAACAAGGAGTACCCACGAACGTATGGCGCACCTTTTGCCGCGACAAATCTCGACCGGTTGCCAACCAGGCACTTACACCGAAATCGGCAATTTGAATGGTGCCATCATCGCCAATGAGAATATTACCGGCCTTTATATCGCGATGTATCTGGCCATTTGAATGGAAATATTCGAGACCCTTCAGCACCTCTTTGAGCACGGTGGCAATTGTGGCCTCGTCAAACACACCATTCTTGCAATTAGTTGTGCGCATTTTATGCTTTATAATATCCAAAAGGGAGCCACCTTCGAGTAGTCTCAAGACCAGCCATAACTCTTCTCTCACTACAAAAGAAGTGTGATACGTTACGACATTCTCATGATTGCACGATGACATCGCTTGGATCTCCTTCAACAGCTCGTCCATGGAGGTGTTCCATTTCTCAAGGTTGATACGTTTAATAGCACATTTTTCGTTACGCGGTATGCAAAGGGCCGCATGGACAACAGCTGTGGCACCAACACCAATAACATCTCTCAGCTCGTAGTCATCTTTCGAATTGGGCCAGGGCTGTTTATCGCTTGTCGAAGCACCTCCTGCGCTACTGGCTGCGGTTGAAGCTGACATGGTGTTACTCTCTTCTACTTCGATGTGACTGACTTCTTTAGTCTTTTTAGTATTATTATTACCTGAAGAAGCGAGTGAAGCACAACTGTACTGAAGATACTCGGATCGCCTAGATGCCAAAAGTAAATCGTTCAAGGAATTTCGGAAATTTCCTTCCAGACGCGGTGGTGCTGTCAATGATTTTGGTTTCACCAAATCTCTCTCGCCAATGTTTAGTGAATTTAGGCTGGGCTCTTTACTATTTAATGAGGCGTTCTTACTTCGTGGTTGTTGTTTTATTACCAATTCATTGATAGCGCTATAGTGGAGGTTTTCTTCCTGCTCTTCTTCTTGTGCTGATGTTGCCCTTGGCGTTTTTATCGTTACGTTCTCTTCGCTAAAAACTCTGTAGGTTGCTGTGGTTTGGTCAGTACTTATATCCGACTCGTCGACTGCAATCTCTTGTAGAATCTCTTGTGTTCTAGAAGTATCACTGCAGCTTTTTTCAGTACAGGTTATGTAACTACTTCTGGATTTTGGTGCCACCAAACAGAATTTAAATATTCCTGGCTGTTTTGTGAAGAAGGCGACTTCTGCAAAGTAAAGTAGAGAAAAAACCTCTGTAGGAATATGCTTTTACATAAAATGAGAATATTATTTTCATTGGTCGACACCAAAATCCTTTGCGTGGCGATATCGGATATTCATAGATTATTAACAGTATTATTTCTTTCAAATATAAATTTTTAAATTATTGTCAAATATAAGTGACATTTATGCTGTGTCATGTATAGCTGTAACTTCTGTAGAATATCCGATATTGCAATTAGATATTTTTTAGGTTGTCAACCAGTTATGTATTTATTATAAAAATGTTTCCGCTTGTTAGTATCAAAAGTATCAGTGAATTCAAGAAGTTATATCGATTAAATGATAGCACAAATCAGAAATCGAGCGAAAAAATTTGATCGCTAACAAGTTATTTATACAAAACCTACTAAAACCTCTTCTAGAAAAGGTATTATTTAAAGTAGTCACACGGTATTATAATGTGAGGTACGTCAGTTTTGGTAAAATTTCTTGGTCAGGGATATGTTGTTCTGCAAACATAGCTATGACTAATTGAAAATAAATATGTTACTTTATCTCCTCTAACCGCGCTATATTTTTTTCGCGTCATTCGATAAGAAAAAAAAAAATACATTTCCTATAAGGGTAAAATGCTAGCTACAAATAATAACAAAACACATGGAAAGAAAAAAGCGAAACTATGTCGATTTACATTTACCACAACTAGAGAAGCCAGAAACGAACATCCACATTTTTCTCATTTGTGAGGATAGAAGCGTACAAATAATGTACAATAAGCGGGGAATGCTCATACCATCGTAATCACAATTCGCGACCGTTTGCCATTGTAATCTTTGCTTTAATTAAATTTTTCCCATTTCTAAAAATAACTAATTGCGGTCATTATCATTTGCTTGGATCGAAAACAGAATCAGCTGTACCGAAAACTAACAAAACATCCGGCGGCTCTGTTTTCTACCTAATGCTATTTCATTCATTGAAAAACGACGTTGCAGATATATAATCGAGTGGAACAATAGGGTAGCAAGCTCATAATGGGGAGGGGAAAGCTGAGTATTGTGCCCACTGCGAATACGACAGACTCGTTGGCATCTCTACTCATTGCATTTGAGTGCATATATTAAGCGTCGCTTACGCGATCTTGAAGTCATGGAATGCTATTATCACCTTGAACTTCAACGGTCAATGAAACATCGTTAAAAGCGTGAATTTGATACATAATTTTTTGGGCATAGAGTTATAACATGCATCCAATTCAAAACAAAATTGAACTTTTTTAGAGAAATGGGAATAGATAAAGTTGCACTATGTGACAAAATGGAGGTCATAATCTGGGGGTGGATATTCCTGATGGAATGAAAGACCATGTTTAGTATAATGAGCAAAATCGCCGTATCTTAGGATTTTGAGTTATGACGTAAATTAATCGTTGCTACAAAAGAGTACGGTTATAATAGTACGTTTACATTTAAGCGGATTTCGTTAACCTAGTGGGTTTCAATTGTCAATTCCTTTGCACATATGTCAAATAAATCCTCCTAAAGTAGGTTATCCGGTAAAAAGTTCTAATGTATATGTCGTTTACGATTTAAAAAAGTAGAAAACTCACACAAAATTTAGCTTCAATTACAAAGTAAATAAAGACGAAATTAAATTAAAATTCGATATTCGTATAATTTCATCATCATTTTCAACTTTTACCCGGATCATTGCTCGGAAAATCTTATATCTATGCACAGTCAAAATTCATATTTATATATTAAAAATTTAATTTAGTTTTTCGAATCTACACTAATTCAAGAATGTCCCTACGAAATGAAAATCAATCAATCAAGTGAAAATCTTAGGAATTCTTGAAGATATAGCCGATTTATTGTGTCAGCATCAAGTAACTGCAAGAGTGATTCTCAAACTTTAAACGCATTTTTCTCGAAGCAGTGTTTTTACGAATTGCGGACACGATAACTCAAAAACTAATAATCCAATCGGCTCCAAATTTTGACACGTTTCTCTGGGAGTGTATAGCTATCGTATGAACTAGGACAAAGCCAATCGGTGAAGTTTGTGGTCAAAAATAGGCGAATTTTCAAAGGTCCGCCATTGTGTTAATTTTTGAGCGAAGTCAATAATCCTATGTCATACGAGAGCCATACATGCACTCTTTGTAACAACGTTGGAATTTCCGGATTCCGATGTTCCAGTGATGAGTTATCATGCCCGCCATCAAAAATAAGGACTTTTCTTTAATCACCAAAAACAACAAGAACCAAATTTTGCAAATTATTTTTCTTCTCTTTTAAATCGTCAATTATATATGTGTAAAGTTACAAACCTTAACATGCATTGGTATTCATTTACCAGCCCCATGAAAATCTTGAAAATTTAAAATCGAGATTGGGGGAGGTCCCCTTAAGTGCCCCAATATTGTGTCGGCTACAGGAAAACCACGATATTTTTTATTCATAAAAACGGTATGAAAGAAAATATCAGAATTACCTACACATAATGACAATTTTAAATTGTATTCTTAATTTTTTCGTTCTTTATAACATTTGAAAAAAAAAAACAATACGGATGAAGCTTGATAAAATTCCACATAGAGATATTTTACAATATTGTTAAACCTATAGATCTAAATATGCAATTTTATAAATTTTTAACAGAAGCAAAAGCCCTATTTGGTTCACTGTTAATTGTGTAGTTCCTTCTTTTATTTTTTGCACAACACTCAATGAATAAAACTGATAAATGATGTGGTCATTTAATTGTTTACATTTACTCACATGTTCAATAGCAATCAATGCGTTTGAGGTCAATTACCCCCAGTGAAATGCTCATATTTATATGTTTGCGCATATGTATATGGTTACACAATGGGTGCTGTAAGTATTTGACCACGCAAATAAAAAAGATTGCGAAGAAAGACTCTATTCTGATAATATGAAATGTAGGGGGTGATAAAAGTAATTATAATTCTAAAATCTGCATTGTTAAACAATTTAAACAAAGATAATGTACATACACGAAACCATACGTAATTGTTATATAATTGAGATAAATCTATGCCGATCTAAACTAAATCTGAGAAACTTAGTCCGTATTAAATATAGTAATATGGACAACACATCGCATCAATCGGACGAGCATGGCGTATTTGATGCACAATTCATAAGACATACAAATTAAATAGGAGAGCAATGCCTATATCTGAACAGTTTCAAAAAAACTTAACACATGTTCCTTTGCGCTGATTTTTATTGGGGCAAAATTACATTTTCGGGTACTTAAAAGTCAACTAATTCAAAGGAGAATAGTGTAATTGATATGATGATGTGAGCATGGATTTCAGAAACTAAATGCAACACCAAATTTTAGTTACCAGGAGAACAATAAATAATCTTAATTTACATTTATAATAACAATAAATCTGCTCTTTATACCCTTCACCACACTGTGGTACAGGGTATTATGTCTTTGTGCATATGTTTGTAACAGGCAAAAGGAAACGAGATAGACACATGGTTCCTTTTGAGAATATGCATAGAATCACTTTCTAAGTCGATTTATGCATGTTAAATTGTAAACAAAGTACAGGTCGCATTTATGATCCGAATTGAATGAAATTTGGCATAGGTCACTTATTGGGCCCAAGGACGAACCCTATTGAAATTGGGAAAAATCGGTTCAGATTTAGATATAGCTCCCATATATATATTTAACCGATTTAATGTAAACGGCCCCTATATATCTTTCGATTTGCACGAAATTTGGTACAGCTTAATCATTTAGGTCTAGAATGATGTCTGCCAAGTTTCGTGAAAATCGGTCCAGATTTAGATATAGCTCCCATATATAGTTTCGTCCGATTTCATGTATATGGTGCCCCAAAGTTCCTATATATCTTTTGATTTGCACGAAATTTGGTATAACGTACTGAATTAAGCCTAGAGTGATGTCTGCCAAGTTTGGAGAAAATCGGTCCAGATTTAGATATAGCTCCCATATATAGTTTCGTCCGATTTCATGTAAAAGGTGCCCCAAAGTCCCTATATATCTTTCGATTTGCGCGAAATTTGGCATAACGTACTGAATTGAGCTTAGAATGATGTCTAACAAGTTTGGAGAAAATCGGTCCAGATTTAGATTTAGCTCCCATATATAGTTTCGTACGATTTCATGTAAATGGTGCCCCAAAGTCCGTATATATCTTTTGATTTGCACGAAATTTGGCATAACGTACTGAATCAAGCCTAGAGTGATGTCTGCCAAGTTTGGAGAAAATCGGTCCAGATTTAGATATAGCTCCCATATATAGTTTCGTCCGATTTCATGTAAATGGTGCCTCAAAGTCCCTATATAACTTTCGATTTGCACGAAATTTGGCATAACGTACTGAATTAAGCCTAGAGTGATGTCTGCCAAGTTTGGAGAAAATCGGTCCAAATTTAGATATAGCTCC